ACTAATGCCATAAATTATCATACAGGGGGAATGGGCTTCATCGGTGCGGAGAAACCGTTGTCCGTAGAGGCACGTGAGCATGTGCAGGAAGCACGCGCCACAGCGACAAGCCACTCCAGCAGCTTAGCCGCAACGCCATAGAAATGAGTTGACAGATCCGATGACAAAGTCCCCACGGTTCAATCGCCCCTTCAAGTTCCGGGAAATCCTCTTGCATAGGTGGATTTCGCCACCCCGCGCCCCCGAGTTTCCAGTACTAATCACGGGGCCCCTTCCGAGGAGGCCCACGGTGGGGGCTCCAGACGCGCGAGCAGCTCGGGGTCGAGGACCGAGCCTCGAATAACCGCTTCCAGACTCGCCCGGAGCCCTTTGGTGGCTTGGCTGGAGGGTGAAACCACATGACGGGAAGAGTAGGTCCAGCGGACCCGGGGGACCTGAATTACCATGGCGGGATTGGCGGAAGAGGGCGACTGCCCGGGGGAGGGACGGCCATTATTACATACATATTACCTTATGATTATCGTGACCTCACTCGTGCCTATTCTCGTGGCCTAGAAATGTGCTTAACCCCTTGGGCTCCCCCCCCTCTTCTCTTCTCTTCTTTTCACCCGCTTATACTCGTCGTTAAATCCGGCATTTCCTTTTCATTGAGATCCGTTGGCTTTCGCAGCACTTAGCACTTGGTCACGATACCCCGCTGCCCCTCCACCGAGGTTAGCTTTTCACGCTCTGCCGCAGGTCAACCCGACAGCAGCCGATCACCACGAGGTCAATTCGTCTCGTGGCATGGTCCTCGTCGAACTCGCACCTCTTGTCCATCACAATTCTCTACAGCACAAGTTAGCACAGAAATACCGGCATCATGGCGGACAACAGCAACGGCGAAAAGGTCAACACCAACATTGTGACGCTAACTCGGTTCCTCAACGAGGAGCAGACCAAGCACAAGGAGGCCAGCGGTGACTTTACGTATGTGCACGATGTCAAGTTTCATACACTTGTTGCCTCCTGCAATTCCCTCGAATATAGAATCTGTTTTGTTCCCAGGAGACGGGCAAAACAAAAGTAAAGGCAAAGGGAAAAAAGAACTAATATATGCTCCCATACAGCCTGCTCTGCCATGCCCTCCAGTTCTCATTCAAGTCCATCGCATACTACATCCGCCGCGCAACCCTCGTCAACCTCACCGGCCTGGCCGGGTCCTCCAACACCACGGGCGACGAGCAGAAGAAGCTCGACGTCATCTCAAACGACCTCTTCATCGAGGCCATGCGCTCGTCCAACAAGTGCGCTCTGCTCGTCTCCGAAGAGGAAGAAGACATCATCTACTTCGAGAACGCCACGGGCTCCCGCTACGCCGTTGCGTGCGACCCCATTGACGGCTCTTCCAACCTCGACGCCGGTGTCTCCGTCGGCACCATCTTTGCCATCCACAAGCTCCCCGAGGGCTCCAAGGGCCGCAAGGAGGACATCCTCAAGCCCGGCACCGAGCTGATCGCCGCCGGCTTCACCATGTACGGCGCCTCGGCGCAGCTGGTGCTCACCATGAAGAACAGCTCCGTCAACGGCTTCACGCTCGACAACGGCATTGGCGAGTTCATCCTGACGCACCCCAACATGCGTATCCCCAAGTCGAGGGCCATTTACTCCGTCAACGAAGGCAACTCTCTGTACTGGGAGGAGAACACCATTGGCTACTTTAACTCGTTGAAGCAGGCCCAGTCCAATGGAAAGCCGTATTCTTCGAGATACATTGGCTCCATGGTTGCCGATGCGTATAGGACGCTGCTGTATGGCGGCATCTTTGCCTATCCTGCTGACAAGAAGAGTCCCAAGGGCAAGCTGCGTATCTTGTATGAATGCGCGCCCATGGCCATGGTTTTTGAGAATGGTAAGCTTCTATGATGCATCTCTGTCCCCCCCGCTCCCTTTTTTTTTCGGTGCTTGTTTTTGCTTCATTTCTGTTTCGATACAAGAAGATTGCTAATATGTGAGCAATAGCTGGTGGCCAAGCTCTTGACAGCAACATGAAGCGCATGATGGAAGTCGAGCCAGAGCATATCCACGACCGCTCCGGCATTTTCATGGGCAGCTATGACGAGATTGAAAAGGTCAAATCTTTCCACAAGTAAATGCAAGGCCCGCAAATTAAATATATTGTAATGTAAACAACGGACTACGACGCGATGGGATTGGTCATGAAACGGAGAAATTTTGGTAATTCACAGAGGCAACTGGCATGAGCATATGCAGGATAAATAAAGCAAATTCACCACCTCAAAACCACCACTCATCGGCACGTATATAACAAAAGCCCTGCCTTCCCCCAACCCCAATCGTATTCATCTGCCCGGGATATCACACATATCCGCAAGCCCTACCATAACTTCGGCACGAGCTTTGGCGTGTTTCTCTTCCACTCCTGATAATCTGCTCTTCCGCCGTACTTTTCATCGTGTCGCGCCTCGGTCAACGGAATACCGGAAACCCTGGTAACCAATAGACCCGAAAACGCAGGCGCAACAAAGGACAAGGCCGTCGTGGCAACAATCCCAGCCGGCGTACGGAACCCGAGAGCCAACTGAACGGGTTTCAGAGCAAGCACACCGGCGCACGTAGTCGCCAGGCCCGTCCACAGGGAGATTTCGCCAAAGTAATGCGGAAAGCGACTAAACGGCACCCACCGCCATCAGCAAAACCGTACCAGCCCGCCCCTTCATACGAGTCCAGAAAGCCAAGAGGAAAAGGGAAGAGGCAAATCTCAACAAGGTCACTTACCACATGCCAAACAAGCCCGTCTTCAGGAACGGCTCGTCGTGCTCCTTCTTCCTCCGCCCCTCCGCCCACCTGCTCTTCTGCGCATCCGCAGCCGTCTCCAGCGCGATGCCGCCCGTCCAGACACCGATGCCCAACACATCGGTAACGGTGAGCCGGGGCACGGCCGCAAACGCCGCAGCGGGGACGGCATTCACCGCCATGACGGGCATGAGCATGACCGACACCCAGACGGCCTGCATGAAGAAGGCGAAGGCGAAGCGCAGCGGTTTCGTGCGCACCGTGTCGAAGCGCGCGTCGTGGCCCTCCTGGCTGATTCTGTGGAAGAGGTACGCCCCTACTATGCGGACGTTAGTCATGCTTTTGCCCACCTCTAACAACAAGAGAAGGGGAAAGTGTTTTTGGGGGGAAGCGGAGAGATGTACATCTGGCAGCCCACGCCATTGCCATGCCCGTCACGGCCACCTGTCTCCAGTTCCAGGCGCCCGAGGCAAACGCGCCGGCTAGCTTGGGCAGCGCCGCATTTCCCACGCGGCTTCGCAGGTGCGGCAGGTACAAGCTGAGTGCGCCGACGGCGAGAAAGGTGAGCGAGCCCGAGAAGTCGAAGAAGCGTTCTGTGGATGCGAGCACGCTGGGCAGCCCGGCGGCGAATTGGACGGCCAGCGCGGCTCCCACGGAGGGCACAATGGTTCGGAGGAGCGGCGACTTGAAGTTGGTGATGTGGAGGAGGCGGTTGATGATGGGCATTGTTGCAGCGGCTGGTCCTCGCGGAAGTGACGACGTGCACGGTTTTGTTGGATGAGATGGGGGGTGGAGGAGGATTGAGACAAGTTAAGGGGCTGTTGAATTTATTTTATTTTATTTTGTCCCTCCCTCTTCTGAATCGTCATGCGCACGTGCGTGCTGCAGATGCATCAACCGCGTTAGGGCTCGGCTGTTGGATCGTCACGGCGGGAGCTCGATCTCGGCGCCGGAGTGGTTGACGATGTGGTGGTGTTTTGGAGATTTAGCTCCGATCGCCCCACAGATCGGGCCGCGGGAAGATCGTGAATGGCGTTGACGGGGCTGAAGATGTATTTGGCGGACCAAGATGTCGAGGGGTTATCGACAACGGAGCAGTCAGCGTTTTGCCGTGGTACAATTTAAATACTATTGATGCTGTTGTAGGCATGTGCGTGACGACAACTGGGAATGTCTAGACTAGCCCGCAGAGCAACGACTTCCACCACGTCCCTTTGCCGGCCCTCTCCTCCGATCCCTCATGCCGTGCTTCAAGATGCTGCTTTTCATCGCCGTCAACACTGTCCGTCTCGTACGGAACGTGCTTGAATGCCGAGATGGAAAACAGATGCAGCTCAAAGTCGCCCTCTTGCTCCCCAAAGAAACTACACGCCGTCAGCACCCACCTCGGAATGCCACGACGCAGCAATCCAGTGAAAAACTCACCTCCTCATCATCAGCCCGATCCTTTTGATGTCCGCCAGATCCAACTCGCCCGCATCCTTCTTCTCCCTGCCCCGATACGTGGGTTTGAAGTCGGCCCATCTCAGCTTGACGTCGCCGGGCTTCTTGGCCACGAATTCCGCCTCCCAGCTCACGGTGCTCTGTTCACGACCGTCGTCCCCCGGAGGCAGAATCTCGTCCTTCAGCGTCAGGGCATACTTCTTGCCGTCTGCCTTGTCCGGCCCCCTGATAGACACAATAATACCCTCGTACTCCTCGAGGTTCAATGACAATGTCCCCTGCGAGTGCTGAGAGGCGAACCCTGCTCCGCCGAGGGCCGTCGTGTCCAAGTGGCCGTGGAAGCGGGCATGCTGGGGACTCTCGACACTGAGATAGGACTGGCTGGCGCCGCCTCGCACGCGGTCGTCCGAGGCCACCCAGGCGTCTGAGGTCCACGGTCTGCAAGAGGCCAGGTTAGAGAATCAAATGTCGGGTTTGGTGAATGTGAGGGCACTTCGAGAAGGAAAAAATGGGGCGGGGTGCGCGTAAACAGGGAGAGAGGAAAAGTTCGGGGTTTGATAGTAATACTGGCCGGTGACGTGAAAATGAGTCCAAGGGCAATCATACCGATCTCCACCGTAGAGGTACAGGATCTGGTCAGGCATTCTGCTGCTCCGATCCGGTGTTTACTCAATTAAGCTATTCCCTGCAGTATGCGGTCAAGTGGTTCACAGCTCATTGTAGGGAGCACAGCGGCTGTTTGAACTGGAACAAGGTTCAGCCCCAGCCCGGCCAGCTCGTTTATCGGACCACGCTAATTGCATAAATTTAGATAACTGCATCGGGGCTCCTCTGTTACTTCCTAGTATGTACTAAGGGGGGGTTTTATTTACCCTGGCCGTGTCGTTTGTGGCGGAGTGGTCTAGTCGGGTTTCTAAACATGTTCATAACTTAGTTAACTAACTACTCGTGCCACGCCCCACATTAGGTAATTCAGCTAGCAAAGCCCTCACCACCAAAGGTGGTGCTTATTACCAAGGCGGGCACATTAGCAAGGCGGGCAGGTTAGGGTTATAATATGTAAAGGTTAATAATATTAAGCTTATTAAGCTCTAATAAGTACTATATATCTTAACGTTACTAGTAAATTTATTAGCTTTAAAAGCATTTATTAAAAAAACCGCGCTTTAAGTATATATAAAACTATTATAAAGAGCGCGTAATATATAATAAGAAATATCTTATTATTTAGGGTATAGCGTATAAATAATTTAATTACTTAAATTACTTATACACGTAAACTATAAAGTACTAGAATACCCTTAAAGTTATTAATAATCTAATAGCCTTCTTTATAAATAACACCTTATAATTTATCTCTTTATAGGTACTATACCTTAAAATAGGCTACCTTAATTACGTAAATTATATTAAGTTAATAATAAATCTAAGTATTTAAGTAATAAATAAGAGTATAATATAACGGTAGCTTAGGTTCTAAGGCATAATAGGTTTGTTTCTTAGAAAGTAAGTTTATAAGTCTATTAATAGTACTAGGTAACTAATATTAGTAATAGTATAAATATTACCTTAAACTTACTAATAAACCTTACTTAAAATAAGTACTAACACTTAAAAATAGAAAAGAAGCTCGTTAATTAAAGTAATAAAGGCCTTATTAATTCCTTTACCTATTACACTAATAATAGTGCTAATAATAAGTATAAAAGAGATATAATAGGGTTAGACTAGCTCCTATAAAAGTAAATAAAAGCCTTAAAGCCTAATAACTATTAAAAGCTTTTTTAAAAGGTTTATAATATATATAAATAACTAAATACTTTAAGTAATTATAATAATAGTAAGTATATAGTTTAAAATAAATAGCGCGTTAATAAGAATACTATAAATAAACGCCTAGTAATATATAAGCTTATTATTTATTTTAAATAAAAAGCGTAATAAGCCTATTAATATTCTAGTAATTAATATTAACTTTA